AAGTGGATATAAAAAGTGGTGGCCTAAGGTCTCACGATTTTTTCTTTTGGAAAAGTGAACCAAAGTGTCTGAATGATTTTTGTTTCTATAAAAATTTTGACTCATGGGTCTTAATAATGTTCTTCAGTAAAAAAATGCACAAGGGCCTAAATTATTTTTTTTAAAGGTGATGATTTTTTCTATAAAAAAAATAAGGGTCTCGATGATTTGTTTCTATTAAAAAAATTGACGCAAGGCCTCGAAGAATTTTTTCTATTAAAAAATTGACCCACGGGTTTCGATGATTTGTTCTTTAAATAAAATTGAACCAAGGGTCTTGAAGATTTTTTTTATATTAAAAAATTTATCCAAGGGTCTCGATGATTTTTTTCTAATAAAATATTGACCCAAGGGTTTTGATGAATTTTTCTTCAAAAAAAAATTGACCAAAGGGTCACGATGATTTTTTTCTATTAAAAAAATTGACCCAAGAATCTCGATGAATTTTTTTCTGCAAAAAATTCAACCAAGGTTCCTGATAATTTTTTCTATACAAAAATCAACAAAGTTTCCCGATAATTTTTACCTACAAAAAATTTACCCAAGGGTCTCGATTATATTTTTTCTGTAGCAAAGAAATGTGGAGACCCGGAGCAAGAATATCGCCAAGCTCACAACAAGAAAGAAACTGTTATATGGCACACAAATGCGAAAGCTGGTTAGGATGAACCGTAGAAACAAGCTCAAATGGGAAACTGATGCTCAGAAGCCTGACCTTCCCTTCCTTATTCGAAGCATCAAAGAGTTTTAGGTATGCGGAAGAGCAGACGAACGCCAAATACTACGTCATATGTAACGGTTGTCTCAGGAGTCGCTTTAGAGACGACCTCTGCTGCGATCTTGGAACACCTACTGTAAGTGAGGGACATGAATCTGAATATCTGTGTTTTTCAATAGAAAAAACATCGTGGAGATTCTGAGCAAGGGTATCGCCAAGTTCACACCAAGAAAGAAGCAGTTATATTGGATACAAAGGCGAAGAGTGGTCAGGATGAACCGGAGAAACAATTGCGAACAGCAAATTGATGCTCAGAAGGATAACCCGGACCTTTTCTTCACTTTCTCGGAAGCAAAAAGGAGGATTAGTTCTACAGACGAGCAGACGAACGTCAAACCTGCAAAAAATGAGAAAAAGTTTCACGTGGGATGATATAAAGATAAGGTAGAGCCAACCCGTGTGCTATCCAGCGTGCTGTGTGAACGACTGAAGCCAATAGTCAATGATATTATTGGACCATGCCAATGCGGCTTCAGGACTGGCAACTCAACCATTGACCGGATTTTCACTCAGCGCCAGATCATGAATAAAAAACCACGAAAAACACATCGATACATTCCACCTATTCGTCGACTATAAAGCCGCATTCGACAGCCCTATCCGTTTAGAGGTATTTAAAGCCATGTCTGTGTTTGGCATTCCAGCAAAATTAATACAGCTATGCAGGATAGCTTTAACTGGTACAATGTCAGCAGTTAAAGTAGGAAAGAAACTCTCGGAGCCCTTCAATACCGAACGAGGATTCAGACAAGGTGACAGTTTGTCGTGTGACCTGTTCAACATCCTGCTGGAAAAAGGTCATACGAGATGCAAATGTGAACAGAAATAGCACTCTGTACACCAAACCAAGCATATGTTACTCGCCTACGCTGACGACATCGACATAATGGGACGAACATTACGACCGGTAACAGCCACCTTTGAACGAATTGAGAAGGAGTCTGCCAAAGTAGGACTGACAGTAAATGACGAAAAGGCCAAGCTTATGGTATCAACGCGCAAGACGTCCAGTAGACTCGGACCAGCTGTGGAACTTGAAAACTACAGCTTTGAGGTAGTGAACGATTTTATATACCTCGGTACCCCTATAAACCAACTCTAATAACATCAGCTTTGAAATCCGGAGGAGAATAGTGTTGGCCAACAGATGTTACTACGGTCTGAGTAAACAACTCAAAAGCAAGGCCACCTCTCGCCAGTCCAAACTCACACTGACGCTGATATTGCTCGTGTTGTTGTATGGATCTGAAGCATGGGTACTTACGCAAGCAGATGAGGCAACTCTTGGAGTATTTGAGACAAAAGTTCTTCGGGCCGATCTGTGTCGATGGAGAATATCGCCGTCGAAAGAACCCTGAGCTATACAATCTATTCTCAGACATCGACATAGTCAGATGGATCGAGCTGCAGCGACTACGATGGTTAGGCCATCTTGTGAGAATGGATGAAGATTCCACAGCCCAGAAGGCATATAAAAGCGAGCCAAGTAATGGTTCACGCAGAAGGGGAATGCCACGAATCCGATGGAAAGATCAAGTAGAAGACAACATTTTGGAAAATGGTCTTTCAAATTGGATGAGATGCGCACAAGACCGACGCGCCTGGAAATATTTTTTTTTTAAACTCGGCTTATGGAACAACCGTTCTGTCATAAGCCAGCTAAGTAAGTAAGAGCCAACCCGAAGTCAAAGAAGACTGCCACGAGAATCCATCGACTGAAGGCGGTGAAGCTGGCTCTAATATCAAGAAGACGTGAACTGCGTAGGAATCTTCCGAAATCGGGAAATAATGCAAAGGTTGCCATGACATGCTCTAGTGACGAGCTCTGCCAGTGATCGAAGATAGTAGCCCGCCGTATAAAAAACATGAAAATAGACCCACGAATACCAACAAATTTTTTTCTAATTGACCCAAGGGTCTCAATGATTTTTTTCTATTAAAAAATTGACCCAAGATCTCGAAGAATTTTTTTCTTTTAAACCAAGGATTTCGATGCATTTTTCTTTAAAAAATTGACCAAAGGGTTCTCGATGATTTTTTTCTATTAAAAAATTGACCCAAGGGTTTCGATGAATTTATCTGTAAAAAAATGGACCCAAGGGTCTCGATGATTTTTTTCTATTAAAAAATTTACCCAAGGGTGTCGATGAATTTTTTTTTCTATAAAAAAATCAACCAAGGTTCCCGATAATTTTTTCTATTAAAAATGGACCCAAGAGCCTATAAAAATTGACCCAAGGGTTCGATGATTTTTTTTCTATAAAAAATTTACCCAAGGGTCACGATTATATTTTTTCTATAGAAAAAATTTGGAGATATATGTGTCTATTTTTCTATAGCAAAAAAATGTGGAGACCCGGGGCAAGATTATCGCCAAGTTCACAACAAGAAAGAAGCAGTTAAATGGGACACAAAGGCGAAAGCTGGTCAGTTTGAACCGCGGAAACAAGCGCCAATAGCTAACAGAAGCTCAGAAGTCTAACCTTCCCTCGATTTCCTAGCAGCATCAAAGAGGTTTAGATCTACAGAACAGCAGACGAACGCCAAACCCCACATCATATGTAAAGGTTGACAGGAGGTGCTATAGAGATGATCTATATAAAAAAAGCGATATGAAGTGATCTATATAAAAAAATTAACCCAAGGCTCTCGATGAATTTTTTTCTATAAAAAAATTGACCCAAGGGTCTTGATGTATTTTTCTTTAAAAAAAATGATCCAAGGGTTTCGATGAAATTTTTCTATTAAAAAATTGAGGCAAGTGTCTCGATGATTTTTTTTTTTTTATAAAAAATTCAACCAAGGTTCCCGATAATTTTTTTCTATAAAAAATAAACCCAAGAGTCTTTAAATTTGTTTTATATTGACCCAAGATTCTCGATGAATTTTTATTTTTTATAAAAAAATATATCCAAAGGTCTCGATGAATTTTTGTCTTAAAAAATTGACCCAAGGGTTTCCATCATTTTTTTTTTCTATAAAAAATTTACCCAAGGGTCTCGATTATGTATTTTCTATAGAAAAAATTGGAGATATATGGGTCGATTTTTCTATAGCAAAAAAAAAAAAAAAAAAAATGTGGAGATCCGGGCAAGATTATCGCCAAGCTCACAACAAGAAAAAAACAGTTAAATGGGACACAAAGGCGAAAGCTGGTCAGGATGAACCGTGGAAACAAGCGCGAATAGCTAACAGATGCTCAGAAGTCTAACCTTGCCTCGATTTCGTAGCAGCATCAAAGAAGTTTAGGTCTCCAGAACAGCAGACGAACGCCAAAACCCACATCATATGTAAAGGTTGACAGGAGGCGCTATAGATGATATCTGCTAAGAAGGGATCTATACAAAAAAATTGACCCAAGTGTAACGATAATTTTTTTTAATAGACCTACGAATACCGATGATTTTTTTCTGTAAAAAATGGACCCAAGGTTCTTGATAATTTTTTTTTATATAAAAAATTGACCCAAGGGTCTCGATGAATTTTTTCTTTCTATAAAAAATTTAACCAAGGGTCCCGATACATTTTTCGATAATTATTTTCTGTAGTAGCAAATAGCGAACCAAGGGTCTTGACGACAACGGTCTATTCACGAATTTTATTTTCTATACATAATTTTTTTTCTCCGTCCCCTCTTCCCCTCCCTTCTACTTACCCTTGAATTTTTCAGCTTATGCCATTCTGGTGTTAAATAATATTTGATACCCTCATCAGCGCCCGGCAACGATACACCTCGAATCAGCAAAATAATGAGTACCACATATGGAGCCAATGCGGTTACCCATACCACTTTGCCAGCGGAACGGACACCCTTCCACAGGGAGAAATAGACCAAAACGAAAACACCAAAAACGCATAAAGCCAATGTTGGCTTAACGGGACCCATTAAATCGAGGCCATCCGATTTGTACTGTTCCAAGACTTTGCGTCTGCAATGAAAACGAATACAACAATAAGAACAAATAAATCAAAATAAATAAACATTTATATTGGCAACAAAAACAACAACAAATGGTGTATTATAGTAGCCTTGCTAACCATTTAGATAAACACATTTATTGTTGAGTGGTTAAAAACATCCTTCACCGGATGAATAGATGGCTGACTGGATGTCTGTCATTTAGAGAGGCAGACAATCAGACATCTCATTCCCAGGGCAGAATGTTTATTTGTTGCTTTAAACGAACACACACATATGACCCACATGAGGTGGTTGGGGGAGTTAAATGGGTTGAAGGGAAGGCTACTTTCAAATACTCACTCAAAAAACTCTTTGGCCGGCGTTGTTTGATTGGCATTAAAGTTCGCATTCGTCACGGGCATACATGCGGCCGTATTCCATGGATTATCGCACGATGTCCAAGGCAATTTCGATGTAAACGAGGCGAACAGATAATAAACGGCCCATCCAATAATTGTGTTATAGTACATGCCCATATAAATGTCAATTAGACAGATTGCATAGCCAACACCTGTTGAGGAGATCACAAACAAAATGAGGTGGTGAATAGAGGGTGGCAGAGAAGTTAGTATAAAATCACAGAGTAACTAAAAGTTTTTCGATTAAGTTGTAGGTGATAAGAAAAAAAGATACAGTATGTGTGAGGATTTATAAAAAAAACAGAAACTTTAAAATGTTAAAGGATTTAAGGAAGGATAGGAAAAATCGGATTAAAAAAATATTTAAAAAACCTTGTGTCGCTATTATTTTGTAAAAAAAAATTGTCTACACCCTTAGGCCCATAGAAAAAATCGTGGAGGCCACTTCGTATTTTTTTTCGCGGAAACTCCTTAGACTATTTTTGTTCTATAGCAAAAAAATCGGCAGGACCCTTGGGGTCGTATTTTTCTATAGGAAACAAATCGTGGAGAGCCCTGGGTCTATTTTTACTATAGACAAAAAATTGTTTTTAAATTCATGGAGATTTCTGGGTCTATAATTTTAAGAAAAAAATCGTGGAAACCCTTAACATGGAAAGACCATCAATCTGGATAGAAACTTCTGTTTTTTAATAGAAAAAAAAATCGTGAAGACCCGGAACAAGAATATCGCCAAGCTGACAACAAGAAAGAAGCAGTTATATGGACACAAAGGCAAAAACAGATCAGGATGAACCGTAGAAACAAGCTCGAATGTTGTCAGAAGGCGCTATAGAGACGACCTCTGTTATGAAGTTATCGTCGAGAACAGTGCGTCCCCGGAACTAAAAAAGGAGATCGATAAGAAGGTGATGAATACGGTCAATAATATGATCATGGAGTACCTGCTGCAAGGGAGCCATCAATCTGGATAGCTGTGAATAGAAAAAATAATGGAAACTCCTGGGTCTATTTTTTCAATAGAAAAAATCGTGGAGACCTCTGAGCAAAAATATTGCCAAGCTCGTAACAAAAAAGAAGCAGTTATATACGACACAAAGGCAAAAGTTGGTGAGGATGAACCGTAGAGACAAGTTGTAACAGCAAACTGATGCTCAGAAGCCTGACCATTCCTCCACTTCCTCGGAAGCGGCAAAGAGGATTAGGTTTCAGGAAGAGCAGACGAACGCCAAACCCCAAATCTTATGTAAAGGTTGCCAGGAGGCGCTATAGAGACGATCTCTGCTATGAGGCGATCGACAAAAGAAAATAATGAATGCGGTCAATAATATGATCATGGATCACCTGCTGCATGGGAAGACTGACAATGTGTATAGCTGTGAATAGAAACAAATTCGTGGAAAATCCTTTAAAAAAATCAGTCGTGGAGACCCTGAGCAAGGATATCGCCAAACCCAAAAAAAAATGTGGCTGGTTGATATAAAGAGAAGGCAGAGCTAATCTGAAGTCAAGGGAGACTGTCACAAGAACTCAGCGATTGGAGGCAATGAAGCTGTCTCTAATATCAAAAAGACGAGTTCCTGCATCGAAAGCTTCCGTAACGACCGGTAAATAAGGCAAATGTTACCATGGCATGCTATAGTGACGAGCTCTGCCACTTATCGAAGGTAGTAGTCCATCCGGGTAACTTTTATAGGGGAGAAACTCCAACTAGAGAAGAAAAGAGACATTCCACAGTTGACAAATGCAGACTATTGCAGAGGTTGTGGCAGCCGCAAGCTCGAAGTCTTTGGTCTGCAGAACACGACACTAATGGTGAAGAAGTTGGAAGTTTCCACAGGGAGGAGTAGATCTGATAGTCGCACAGAAATGTAAATTTGTCAATAAATTTGTTCCGATAACAATAGAACACAAAAACGATTTACAACTTAGCAAAACAGGAAGTCCCACAAAGCGTAAAAAGTTGCAGAGTCACATGGGAATCAAAAAGGTTGCAAATTTCGACTTTAGCTGTACAATGGCAACCCTGGTCTCTAGTGTAAGAGACAGAGAGAGAGAGAGAAAATTTAGTTAAAGAGGTATTTATTTTTGTACAGAGTTAACATAAGATAACAGCTCTCACTCTTTTTTTAACACATTAGTCTAAGATAGGTTAAGTCATATTCCCGTACTTAGTTCTTAATGAAATATTGTCTAAAAGAGCAACGAATAGAACAGAACTTTCACTCCGTGTGAAACATAAGGAAACCACATCTCGTTTAACTGCACCGCTGTCTACTTCAAGATTGGAAAGGCAAGAATTGAAGAGGAGGAAGCCATAAAAGGTTCCCAGTGAGAAATACCCAGCAGCAAAAATGAGGAAGCCGATGAGAAGATGCCGGCTCCCAAGAGGCTCTTTTGCTGGATGACAATATATAGGGGCTATGCAGATAAAACTCTGTCGGCGTGAGACGGCAACAATGTATCTGATGGAAAAATTTACCAAAGCTAATATACACATCCGGCTAATCCAGGAACTTTAGACTGTTAAAATCAAGATCTCTGAAGTAAACCATATAAATAACAAAGATTCCCGACCAAAAACCTGTATAATACACCAATTATTGGCAGAAAAGGCAAGAATTGAAGAGGAGGAAGCCATAAAACGTTGACAGAGAAAAATACCCAGCAGCAAAAATAAGGAAGCCGATGAAAAAATATCCGACTCCCAAGAGGCTCCTTTACTGGATGACAATTTATTGAGCCTATCCAGATAACACCCTATCGGCGTAAGGCGATTAAATCCCACTCGAAACCATGAATTCCTACTCAAAACCATGGAACGTTCAATCGACACCATGATAAAGAGCAGTATACCCAATGATAAGCTGAAATATAAAAAACATGCCTATGTAAAGAGGAGATCAGTGGAAACCGCTTTACATGAGGTAGTACACTATATTGAGGGCACCTTCGCCAAGAAAATGTATACCTTAGCGGTATGCATTCAGCACTAATACGCTTATCCAATTCTTAGATACTTTCCAAGATGACCGGACAATCATAGACTGGGTTATCTATATGCCAAGGAATATATGGATTAGCTATAGCATAACAATCAGATACAAAGTAGGTCAGGGAACACCACAGGGAGGGATTTTGTCACCGTTCATGTATGTGACTACCATAAATGGATTCTTAAGGAGCCTAACCGATGAAGGATTTGAACCAGGCTGGAACATTTGCCCAGCATTTGGAAAATTACACTTTTCACGGACTAACCGATCTGAGGGGATGTGAATGGAAAAGACTGAAGGAGTTCTCAAAAAACACGGAATTCCTAGATTCATACGGGGATCAAACCCAAAATGTTTTAACCTAAACGTTCCCTAATTCTATATTTCACTGCATTTCTAGAGCGCACAACAGGCCTCAATTGGCTGTATGCCATTCCCATGTTGGACATGTTTTGGTATTACCCACCCCTCTTTTCGACCTAACTTAGTCCCTTTGAGATTAAGACCCTTTCAATGCTCTCTTTATCTCTCAAGTTTTGCTGCAGAAACATAAGACCGTGAAGAGTCTTGGGTCCATTTTTTATATTATAGAAAAAAAATCGTGACTATATTTGTCAAAATGGAATAGACTGAAGGAGTTCTCAAAAAAACACGGAATTCCTAGATTCATACGGGGATCAAACCCAAAATGTTTTAATCTAAACTTTCCCTAATTCTATATTTCACTGCCTTTCTAGAGCGCACAACAGGCCTCAGTTGGCTGTATGCCATTCCCATGTTGGACATGTGTTGGTATTACCCACCCCTCTTTTCGACCTAACTTAGTCCCTTTGAGATTAAGACCCTTTCTATGCTCTCTTTCTCTCTCAAGTTTTGCTGCAGAAACAGAAGACCGTTAAGAGCCTTGGGCCCATTTTTTATATTATAGAAAGAAAATCGTGACTATATTTTTCAAAGCCTATGGGTCTATTTTTTTCCAAAGAAACAAATTTGTCGAGACCATTGGTTCGATTTTTCTATAGATAGGCGAGGTGGAGTTCTGCTCAATAAAAGAGGAAGAGTTCTTCAATAGATAGCAGATCATCTTCATGGGAACATCATGAACTGCTCTATGAATAGCAGAGCAGTAGATTCAAGAAAGGGAGCCCATCTACAGCTCGAAGAGTGGGCTATCTTCTCTAGCAGCTTTTGCTTAAATTTTAGATCTCCTACAGGTACTTCTATTTTCTCCTGTCCTCGAACTTCTGTTTTCCACAATTACAGCCTCCTGTCGTCGAGACTATTGGTTCGATTTTTTTCGATAGATAGACGAAGTGGAGCTTTCCTCAATAAAAGAGGAAGAGTTCTTCAATAGATAGGAGATCATCTTCATGGGAACATCATGAACAGCTCTATGAAAAGCAGATCAGTAGATTCAAGAAAGGGAGCCTATCTACAGCTCCAAGAGTGGGCGATCTTCTCTACCAGCTCTTGCTTAAATTTTAGATCTACTACAGGTCCTTCTATTTCCACCTGTTACCGAACTTCAATTTTCCACAACTACAGCCTCCTGTCGTCGAGACTATTGGTTCGACTTTTTTCTATAGATAGACGAATTGGAACTCTCCTCAATAAAAGAGGAAGAGTTTTTCAATAGATAGGAGATCATATTCATGGGAACATCATGAACAGCTCCATGAAAAGCAGATTAGTAGATTCAAGAAAGGGAGCCCATCTACAGATCGATGTGTGGTCAATCTTCTTGCTTAAATTTTAGATCCTCTACAGGGCTTTCTATTTCCTGCTGCCCCTAAACTTCAGTTTTCGTCTATTACCGCCTCAGGAAAGCTCAACTCAGAGTTACCAAAAAAGTATTTAATTTAATAAAAGCAAATGCTTCAAATTAATCTCTCGTTCATTTCGAAATTAGATGTATATGAATGTATGTAGCCATGATATTTCTGATTTGTCAACCATGTGGCTACCAGCTTCTTTTTTCGTTAATCATACCGCCTCTGATATGCCCAAATAGATTTTAGATTATCAATTAAATGTCAAATTCATAAACTGTTGCTCTTTTATATTCGTGCGTGTGAGTGGCGCCCAACTTCAGTTGGTTTGACATGCTTTTGATAACTTTGCAAGTAATCAGATTTTCGAAAACAAAACGAATGAGAGACAGAGAACATAGAATGAGGGCGGCATGTGGCAAAGCAAAAAAAAAAACAAATGAAAGACAAACTTGTTGCTTGTTATTTTGTAATTGTGCGAAACGATATGTATGGCGTATCCTTACCAAACACTCAACTTCGTTGTGAGGAGGATACGCCGCATATCAAGGCTTTGCTTAATGTCTGCTATTTACTGGCAAACAGTGGTGGATGAAGAAATTGGGACAAAAAACAATCATCGAATATAACTAAATTTTCAAAAGACAGACCTATTGTTGTAATGGCTTGTTCAGACGTTTGTTTCTCATTATGAAATTACAAGAGGAATTTGTTTTCTTTATAATAAATCTGTTTACATTCTAATTAAATTAGCTGAATATTTAACAACATGAGTTATAATAAAAATTCCCAATACTGTCTCATCCCTCAGCATCTGCCTCCAGTAAAAATTTGAAAATAAGACATCGAAAATTAAATAATTAAATCTTACTTTGTATGAATGGCGTTTATGATTTTCAAAAGGGCCAGGGACCAAGAAAAGAAAATCAGAAATACAAATTTTTGTAATTTATTTAAATATACCACATGTTCAGACATACACTAATCAAAAAATGAATGCCAAAAAGTTATCTTTAATATATTCAATTAAAATATTAACTTGCATTTCAATATTTATTTCATTTATTTATATTCTGCCAGTTTATTGGCTATATTGAAGTATGTGTACATTTTTTTATAAAAAAAACGGAATCTGGATTTATTTGCATTTCTTTCATTTCTCCACAAACAGTGTTTGCTTAACAGCGAATAATAGTTTGCCTGAGTTCAGTTAAAGGTTATGATGGTGGTATTGACTTAAATGAGTAAATAAAACATGTGCTACATGTGTAAACGTTATTTTTTATGATTTATCGATTTTTATTGACAGTTAAATATCCATAAACGGACAAAGGCATGAAAAGTTGTGCAAAAGTGCAATAATCTTCAATTCAGCCCAGCTGAATAGGATTTCCTATAGGTAATCATCAATTTAGCCTAGCTGAATATGATTTCATATAGGTAATCTTTAATTCAGCCAAGCTGAATATGATTTTATATAGGAAATCTTCAATTCAGCTTGGCTGAATATGATTTCCAATAGGTAATCTTCAATTCAGCCTGGCTGAATAAGGTTTTCTATAGGAAATCTTCAATTCAGCCTGGCTGAATAAGGTTTTCTATAGGAAATCTTCAATTCAGCCTGGCTGAATAAGGTTTTCTATAGGAAATCTTCAATTCAGCCTGGCTGAATAAGGTTTTCTATAGGAAATCTTCAATTCAGCTTAGCTGAATAAGGTTTTCTATAGAAAATCTTCAATTCAGCCCAGCTGAATAAGGTTTTCTATAGAAAATCTTCAATTCAGCCCAGCTGAATAAGGTTTTCTATAGAAAATCTTCAATTCAGCCTGGCTGAATAAGGTTTTCTATAGAAAATCTTTAATTCAGCTTGGCTGAATAAGGTTTTCTAAAGAAAATCTTCAATTCAGCCCCGCTGAATAAGGTTTTCTATAGAAAATCTTCAATTAAGCACCGCTGAATAAGATTTCCTGTTGGTAATCTTCAATTCAACCCAGCTGAATAAGATTTCCTATAGGTAATCTTCAATTCAGCTCGGCTGAATAAAATTTCCTAAAGGTAAACTTCAATTCAACCCGCCTGAATATGATTTTCCATTGGTAGTCTTCCATTCAGCCTGGCTGAATACGTTTTCCTATAGGTTAACTTCAATTCAGCCTGGCTGAATAAGTTTTCCTATAGGTTAACTTCAATTTAGCCTGGCTGAATAAGTTTTCCTATAGGTAAACTTAAATTTAGCCTGGCTGAATAAGTTTTCCTATAGGTAAACCTCAATTCAGCCTAGCTGAATATGGCTTACTATAGGTAAACTTCAATTCAGCATAGCTGAATAGGGTTTACTATAGGTAACCTTCAATTCAGCATAGCTGAATAGGGTTTACTATAGGTAAACTTCAATTCAGCCTAGCAGAATACACTTTTCTATACGTAATCTTCAATTCAGCTTAGCTTAATATGATTTCTTATAGGTAATCTTCAGTTCAGTCTGCCTAAATATGATTCCCTTTAGGTAATCTTCAATTCAGCCTGACTGAATATTATTTCTAGTAGGTAATCTTCAATTCAGCCTTGCTGAATAGGATTTCCAATAGGTAATCTTCAATTCAGCCTGGCTGAATATGATTTCTTGTAGGTAATCTTCAATTCAGCTTAGCTAAAAAACTTTTCTTATAGGTGAACGTCAATTTAGCATGTTCAGTCTGCCTAAATATGATTCCCTTTAGGTAATCTTCAATTCAGCCTGGCTGAATATTATTTCTAGTAGGTAATCTTCAATTCAGCCTTGCTGAATAGGATTTCCTATAGGCAATCTTCAATTCAGCTAAGCTGAATATGATTTCCTATGGATTATCTACAATTTTTATGGTTCCTTATACCTTATTGATGCCTTTAAAGCCCTTAGAAAAGCTAATCGTTTAAGTTTTCCTATTTTACTTCCAAGTCCTTGCATATTCAGAAAACTTTTACCCTTTCGAATATGTCATCATGCACATACATGAAACGTCATAGTTTTTACCGCTTTGAAGTTGAATTTAGTAACTCTGAGAGTGTGTACCGAAGACTTAGGCTAGGAACCAAAAACTCTTTTTTAAGTTTCCTCTAAGAAACCAAATAATAGAATCAAACAAAAGACACGAACGAGGGGGAAGGAGGGCAAAGGCGAAAGGCCGGGAAAAACAAATAAAAACAGTTTAAACTTTACACATACACACACACATACGAGTGTCTTTAACACGAAGTGGAAAAGCTACAGAAAAACTGCTAAGTCAATAGGTTTCCTTTTTTGTCTTCAAAGAAAAAGGCGAACACAAAGAGACAAAAGTGGAGGACAAATGAGCCGACAATCAAACATTGAAAGGTAAGGCAGTCGGATTCGGTCGTCAGTCAAATTGTCTGGCAGTAAACAATTGCCGCAAAGCTGGCGGCAGACAGCAAAGATTGTGAGGGGGAATGAGGTGGTTCGGTGGTGGGGGTGGTATGGATTACAAAAACCCATGAAGAGGCCAGTCTGAACAAATACGAAAATGATGATTCTGCCAACAGCTGTTGGTTGCTCCATGGCTCTTATTAGCATCATAAGTTAGAAATCAGGTGGAACATGTTTTTTCCTGCACAGTAAGAATAGAACTTCGACTTACCTTTCAATGCCGGACATATTCGCCGCCATATACTCAAACAGCCGCAACGATGAAATTGTCCCAATGCCAGTTCCATATAGAACAGGGGCAGTCCACCGAATACCAACATAATGCAATAGGGTATTAGGAAGGCTCCGCCACCATTCTGGTAGCAGATGTAGGGGAAACGCCAAACATTGCCCAAGTCAACGGCAAAGCCAATGACGGCCAAAAGAAATTCGGCTTTTTGGCCCCATGTTTCACGGCGTCGTTCTGTTACAGAGACAACGAGGACACGCTGAAAGCACACAAAACGAAGAGGAAGAAGAAAAAAATAATTATTAAAAACAGGAAACGGATATTGAATGATTTTTATTGAATATAAATACGTTTTTCTAAGTTTTTCGGCAGAAAATCTTCAATTCAGCCCAGCTGAATAAGGTTTTCTATAGAAAATCTTCAATTCAGCCCAGCTGAATTAGGTTTTCTATAGAAAGTCTTCAATTCAGCCCAGCTGAATTAGGTTTTCTATAGAAAATCTTCAATTCCGCCCAACTGAATTAGGTTTTCTATAGAAAATCTTCAATTCCGCCCAGCTGAATTAGGTTTTCTATAGAAAATCTTCAATTCAGCCCAGCTGAATTAGGTTTTCTATAGAAAATCTTCAATTCAGCCCAGCTGAATTAGGTTTTCTATAGAAAATCTTCAATTCAGCCCAGCTGAATTAGGTTTTCTATAGAAAATCTTCAATTCAGCCTGGCTGAATAAGGTTTTCTATAGAAAATCTTCAATTCAGCCTGGCTGAATAAGGTTTTCTATAGAAAATCTTCAATTCAGCCTGGCTGAATAAGGTTTTCTATAGAAAATCTTCAATTCAGCCTGGCTGAATAAGGTTTTCTATAGAAAATCTTCAATTCAGCCTGGCTGAATAAGGTTTTCTATTGAAAATCTTCAATTCAGCCTGGCTGAATAAGGTTTTCTAGAAAATCTTCAATTCAGCCTGGCTGAATAAGGTTTTCTATAGAAAATCTTCAATTCAGCCTGGCTGAATAAGGTTTTCTATAGAAAATCTTCAATTCAGCCCAGCTGAATTAGGTTTTCTATAGAAAATCTTCAATTCAGCCCAGCTGAATTAGGTTTTCTATAGAAAATCTTCAATTCAGCCCAGCTGAATTACGTTTTCTATAGAAAATCTTCAATTGAGCCCAGCTGAATAAGGTTTTCTATAGGAAATCTTCAATTCAGCTTGGCTGAATAAGGTTTTCTATAGGAAATCTTCAATTCAGCTTGGCTGTATAAGGTTTTCTATAGGAAATCTTCAATTCAGCTTGGCTGAATAAGGTTTTCTATAGAAAATCTTCAACTCAGCCCAGCTGAATAAGGTTTTCTCATAGAAGATCTTATACTCAGCCCAGCTGAATAAGGTTTTCTCATAGAAAATCTTCAATTCAGCCCAGCTTAATAAGGTTTTCTCATAGAAAATCTTCAATTCAGCCCAGCTTAATAAGGTTTTCTATAGAAAATCTTCAATTCAGCCCAGCTTAATAAGGTTTTCTATAGAAAATCTTCAATTCAGCTTGGCTGAATAAGGTTTTCTATAGGAAATCTTCAATTCAGCTTGGCTGAATAAGGTTTTCTATAGGAAATCTTCAATTCAGCTTGGCTGAATAAGGTTTTCTATAGAAAATCTTCAACTCAGCCCAGCTGAATAAGGTTTTCTCATAGAAGATCTTATACTCAGCCCAGCTGAATAAGGTTTTCTCATAGAAAATCTTCAATTCAGCCCAGCTTAATAAGGTTTTCTCATAGAAAATCTTCAATTCAGCCCAGCTTAATAAGGTTTTCTATAGAAAATCTTCAATTCAGCCCAGCTTAATAAGGTTTTCTATAGAAAATCTTCAATTCAGCTTGGCTGAATAAGGTTTTCTATAGAAAATCTTCAATTCAGCCTGGCTGAATAAGGTTTTCTATAGAAAATCTTCAATTCAGCCTGGCTGAATAAGGTTTTCTATAGAAAATCTTCAATTCAGCCTGGCTGAATAAGGTTTTCTATAGAAAATCTTCAATTCAGCCTGGCTGAATAAGGTTTTCTATAGAAAATCTTCAATTCAGCCTGGCTGAATAAGGTTTTCTATAGAAAATCTTCAATTCAGCCCAGCTGAATTAGGTTTTCTATAGAAAATCTTCAATTCAGCCCAGCTGAATTAGGTTTTCTATAGAAAATCTTCAATTCAGCCCAGCTGAATTACGTTTTCTATAGAAAATCTTCAATTGAGCCCAGCTGAATTACGTTTTCTATAGAAAATCTTCAATTGAGCCCAGCTGAATAAGGTTTTCTATAGGAAATCTTCAATTCAGCTTGGCTGAATAAGGTTTTCTATAGGAAATCTTCAATTCAGCTTGGCTGTATAAGGTTTTCTATAGGAAATCTTCAATTCAGCTTGGCTGAATAAGGTTTTCTATAGAAAATCTTCAACTCAGCCCAGCTGAATAAGGTTTTCTCATAGAAGATCTTATACTCAGCCCAGCTGAATAAGGTTTTCTCATAGAAAATCTTCAATTCAGCCCAGCTTAATAAGGTTTTCTCATAGAAAATCTTCAATTCAGCCCAGCTTAATAAGGTTTTCTATAGAAAATCTTCAATTCAGCCCAGCTTAATAAGGTTTTCTATAGAAAATCTTCAATTCAGCCTAGCTGAATAAGGAAAATCTTCAATTCAGCCTAGCTGAATAAGGTTTTCTATAGAAAATCTTCAATTCAGCTTGGCTGAATAAGGTTTTCTATAGGAAATCTTCAATTCAGCTTGGCTGAATAAGGTTTTCTATAGGAAATCTTCAATTCAGCTTGGCTGAATAAGGTTTTCTATAGAAAATCTTCAATTCAGCTTGGCTGAATAAGGTTTTCTATAGAAAATCTTCAATTCAGCTTGGCTGAATAAGGTTTTATATAGAAAATCTTCAATTCAGCTTGGCTGAATAAGGTTTTCTATAGAAAATCTTCAATTCAGCTTGGCTGAATAAGTTTTTCTATAGAAAATCTTCAATTCAGCTTGGCTGAATAAGGGTTTCTATAGCTGAATATGGGTTTTCTTGATATATACCAATTATATAACCCTTTAGCAATCAATAGAAGCAACAATTTTCTCGTCCTTCTCACCTTCACCTTCATCTTATTCCTTATTTATTTTTTTTATCGCACACTTACCTCATTATTTGTTAATTTAGGTGCCAAGGGATCTGTGACTTTCGCCGGTGTTGCATTATCCGTATCATCTTCGTTCGAGTCATCCTCATTGGGTGGCGATTCTTTGTTGTTGCTCCAGGGACTTGTCGTTGTTGTTGTTGTGCCCACGGTATTGTTTGTTACTGTTGCTGCCGCCGAGGATGCATTAGTGGCTGTTAAATTATTTGCAAATTCACAACTGTTGCTGCCGTTGGTTTTCTTTGAACGTTCCATGGTTAAGAGAGCGACTTCAATGACCAAAGTGGAACATAAAGAAGTCTATTGTAATGTCAATAATGAAGAGGGGGCTTGCAGGGTGACTGAATACTATTTTACTAGGGCAGTAGTCGCGTGAGAGAGTGTGTATGGCTGTGTGCGTTCCTTAAGTTGTGTTACCAGTTTCTGATTGATTGGTATGGGCTTTTATATTTGTTTGGATTTTTTTTGTCAAACCTGCCTCTACTTCGATCCCTACCTCTCACTTTCTGTCAGTTCTGTCTGCGAGTAATCGAATTACAAATTTTGTCACTTAAAGATCATTATCAGCCAGCCACTAACGTCATCATTAAAGCCACAACCGCTGCCACATGTTGTTGAGGTTTTGAAATGTTGAAATTATTTATTTATTGCACATTAAAAAATGTGTAATTTTTGTTATCCATTCTGGGTGTCAGATGTCAGCGGCAACCGTATCTATTGTAGCCTGCAAAAAAATATATAAGCACAGATAATAAATTCATCTAAATTAGTTGATTTGATGGGATTAGAAGATGCAACATTGTAATAAAAGTGGGGAATAATGACAAGTTATTGGCAATACGATTAAGCAGAATGGTGTTAACTGTCACAAAATGGCAATTCAGCTTAGCTGAATAGGGGTTTTGGTTACTAATCTGCAATTCAGCTAAGGTGAATAAAGTTTTCGTTTACTAATATGCACTTCAGTGTAGCTGAATAAGTGTTTTGGTTACAAATCTACAATTCAACTTAGCTGAATAAGGGTTTCGGTTACAAAATTGCAATTCAGCCATGCTGAATAAGTTTTTCGGTTACAAAACTGCAATTCAGATTGGCTGAATCACTTTTCCCATAGGTAAACTTCAATCAGCCCGGCTGAATTAGTTTTCCTATAGGTAAACTTCAATTCAGCCTGGCTGAATAAGGTTTTCTATAGAAAATCTTCAATTCAGGCCAGCTGAATAAGGTTTTCTATAGAAAATCTTCAATTCAGCCCAGCTGAATAAGGTTTTCCTATAGGTAAATTCAATTCAGCCTGGCTGAATAAGTTTTCCTATAGGTAAACATCAATTCAGCCTAGCTGAATAAGGTTTTTCTATAAAAAATCTTCAATTCAGCCTAGCTGAATAAGGTTTTCTATAGAAAATCTTCAATTCAGCCTAGCTGAATAAGGTTTTCTATAGAAAATCTTCAATTCAGCCTTGCTGAATAAGGGTTTCTATAGATAATCTTCAATTCAACCTTGCTGAATAAGGTTTTCTATAGAAAATCTTCAATTCAGCCTGGCTAAATAAGGTTTTCTATAGAAAATCGTCAATTCAGCCTGGCTGAATAAGGTTTTCTATATAAAATCTTCAATTCAGCCTGGCTGAATAAGGTTTTCAATAGAAAATCTTCAATTCAGCCTGGCTGAATAAGGTTTTCAATAGAAAATCTTCAATTCAGCCCAGCTGAATTAAGTTTTCTATAAAAAACTTGCAATTCAGCCCAGCTGAATTAGGTTTTCTATTAAAAATCTTCAATTCAGCCCAGCTGAATTAGGTTTTCTATAGAGAATCTTCAATTCAGCCTAGCTGAATTAGGTTTTCTATAGAAAATCTTTAATTCAGCCTAGCTGAATTAGGTTTTCTATAGAAAATCTTCAATTCAGCCTAGCTGAATTAGGTTTTCTATAGAAAATCTTCAATTCAGCCTAGCTGAATTAGGTTTTCTATAGAAAATCTTCAATTCAGCCTAGCTGAATTAGGTTTTCTATAGAAAATCTTCAATTCAGCCTAGCTGAATTAGGTTTTCTATAAAAAATTTTCAATTCAGCCTAGCTGAATAAGGTTTTCTATAGAAAATCTTCAATTCAGCCAAGATGAATTAGGTTTTCTATAGAAAATCTTCAATTCAGCCTAGCTGAATTAGGTTTTCTAGAGAAAATCTTCAATTAGGTTTTCTAAAGAAAATCATCAATTCAGCCTAGCTGAATTAGGTTTTCTAAAGAAAATCTTCAATTCAGCCTAGCTGAATTAGGGTTTCTAAAGAATATCTTCAATTCAGCCTAGCTGAATTAGGTTTTCTAAAGAAAATCTTCAATTCAGCTTGGCTGAATTAGTTTTCCTATAGGTAAACTTCAATTCAGCCTGGCTGAATTAGTTTTCCTATAGGTAAACTTCAATTCAGCTTGGCTGAATTAGTTTTCCTATAGGTAAACTTCAATTCAGCCTGGCTGAATTAGTTTTCCTATAGGTAAACTTCAATTCAGCCTGGCTGAATTAGTTTTCCTATAGGTAAACTTCAATTCAGCCTGGCTGAATTAGTTTTCCTATAGGTAAACTTCAATTCAGCCTGGCTGAATTAGTTTTCCTATAGGTAAACTTCAATTCAGCCTGGCTGAATTAGTTTTCCTATAGGTAAACTTCAATTCAGCCTGGCTGAATTAGTTTTCCTGTTGGTAAACTTCAATTCAGCCTGGCTGAATTAGTTTTCCTATTGGTAAACTTCAATTCAGCCTGGCTGAATTAGTTTTCTTATAGTTAAACTTCAATTCAGCCTGGCAGAATTAGATTTCCTATAAGTAAACTTCAATCCAGCCTGGCTGAATGAGGTTTTCTATAGAAAATCTTCAATACAGCCTAGCTGAATAAGGTTTTCTATAGAAAATCTTCAATTCAGCCTAGCTGAATAAGGTTTTCTATAGAAAATCTTTAATTCAGCCTTGCTGAATAAGGGTTTCTATAGAAAATCTTCAATTCAACCTTGCTGAATAAGGTTTTCTATAGAAAATCTTCAATTCAGCCTGGCTAAATAAGGTTTTCTATAGAAAATCGTCAATTCAGCCTGGCTGAATAAGGTTTTCTATATAAAATCTTCAATTCAGCCTGGCTGAATAAGGTTTTCTATAGAAAATCTTCAATTCAGCCTGGCTGAATAAGGTTTTCAATAGAAAATCTTCAATTCAGGCTGAATTAGTTTTCCTATTGGTAAACTTCAATTCAGCCTGGCTGAATTAGTTTTCTTATAGTTAAACTTCAATTCAGCCTGGCAGAATTAGATTTCCTATAAGTAAACTTCAATCCAGCCTGGCTGAATGAGGTTTTCTATAGAAAATCTTCAATACAGCCTAGCTGAATAAGGTTTTCTATAGAAAATCTTCAATTCAGCCTAGCTGAATAAGGTTTTCTATAGAAAATCTTCAATTCAACCTAGCTGAATAAGGTTTTCTATAGAAAATCTTTAATTCAGCCTTGCTGAATAAGGGTTTCTATAGAAAATCTTCAATTCAACCTTGCTGAATAAGGTTTTCTATAGAAAATCTTCAATTCAGCCTGGCTAAATAAGGTTTTCTATAGAAAATCGTCAATTCAGCCTGGCTGAATAAGGTTTTCTATATAAAATCTTCAATTCAGCCTGGCTGAATAAGGTTTTCTATAGAAAATCTTCAATTCAGCCTGGCTGAATAAGGTTTTCAATAGAAAATCTTCAATTCAGGCTGAATTAGTTTTCCTATTGGTAAACTTCAATTCAGCCTGGCTGAATTAGTTTTCTTATAGTTAAACTTCAATTCAGCCTGGCAGAATTAGATTTCCTATAAGTAAACTTCAATGCAGCCTGGCTGAATGAGGTTTTCTATAGAAAATCTTCAATACAGCCTAGCTGAATAAGGTTTTCTATAGAAAATCTTCAATTCAGCCTAGCTGAATAAGGTTTTCTATAGAAAATCTTCAATTCAGCCTAGCTGAAGAAGGTTTTCTATAGAAAATCTTCAATTCAGCCTAGCTGAATTAGGTTTTCTATAGAAATTCTTCAATTCAGCCCAGCTGAATTAGGTTTTCTATAGAAAATCTTCAATTCAGCCCAGCTTAATTAGGTTTTCTATAGAAAATCTTCAATTCAGCCCAGCTGAATTGGGTTTTCTATAGAAAATCTTCAATTCAGCCAGCTGAATTAGGTTTTCTATAGAAAATCTTCAATTCAGCCCAGCTGAATAAGGTTCAGCTTCATTTTACTTCACGTGTAAGTATGTGTTTATCTCTGACCATTTTCAATATCACACAAAATTAAACTATTTACCAAAATGTTTAAACATTTTCGTAATTAATTGCAATACATAAAATTGTTCGCCCAATATTTCCTGGGCGGCCCACAACTGACCCTTACCTTGAATTTGCAACCGGCTAAATAATTGTTCCGCCATGCATTGGGGAAACAAATTTTTGCAATAAATTCTGATATTGAATTCGCATACAAGGTTTTCAGTTTCGGTACACCTCCAATGCACGTGCGTAGGTGTGCATGTGTATGTTTGCTTATGCAAACATATATACAAATACCGTTTATCCTTTTTATCCTTAGCCAATAATGTTGGGATGTAATTAAAATTGCGCGCGCAAAAAAAAAACAACGACGCTGGAATGGGAAGTTGTAAATTGCGAAATAAAAATAATGTTGGCTTGGCAGGATAAAAACGAAATAAAATTAAAACATATATGTTTGTTTACATTTTAACGGCATAAAAAATCACAATAACAACAACAGACATAGTAGCCAATATATAAAAAAGGAAACATGTTTTTATTTGGTTGAGAGATAAAAACGGCCTTCGAAAAACATAACCTAATAGAGAGTCATGTTCGCTTTATTTGTCATGTTTGTTTACATTTTTGTTACCTTGTTGTTGTTTTTATTAAATATATTTGCGTTTTTTTATTAACTCTTGTTTTTTTATTTATCATTAAATATTTTGACAACAACAAGAATTAAAATTCCTTTTGGCGCCAATTTTTTTCAACAACATTAATCACAAGTCAAGTAAAGTCACACCAGATTTATATCAAATTTTGATACCAGTTTGGCTTTAAACCGTCTCTTTGTTGTCACCTTAAAGGTGTTAAGATTTAATTTTGAAATGTATTTTTAATTGTTGTTATTATTTTTGCTTTTGTTGTGGCGTATTAATTGAAACAGACACACACACACTACAATAAACAAATAATCAAAAAATCTTAACG